CACTGACGTCTTGGGCAGCTCATTCCAACATTCAATATTCAATCTTATCTTCTACGCTATACGCCGTGCATAGGTTGCCCGGAGGCCGGGGCTGCAACCCGTGACCGTGGCACAGTCCCTACTCTACCTCATGAGGCACACGTGCCCACGCTTGTCATCATTCAGAACAGTGAATATACAAGCTAGGCTTATCCTTCCATAAGCCTGTCATAGTCGACCGTATACATGGAGCAGATTCGACATTTTGTCTTCGCTCCTCGGCCACGGGGAGTTTCCTACTCTAAATGTTTACTGCGGTAATTCATTCTTCCTTGCAGTGTTCCTTTGCGTTACCTTTCGTCGAGAATGGGTTTATTAATTGGATACCCAACAGTCCGGCAACCATACTGCGACCGTCTCGTCTTACCCATCCCTATTATAATCGTCTTTGCAAGCATTCTGACTCTCAGTTAAACCTCCCGGGCCCTCTGCGGAAGCTCATGTGCATGAGAATTTGGATAAACATTTTGACAAACTTACTCAACAATTTTAATAACATTATGTGCGTCCACATGACATACAATTCGAGTTTATCGGATAACGAATCATTTAGACACAGACCAAGCCCTGACTGTCAAGATGCTTTGAGTGATGGATCTTCATGGCAGCGGCCGCCCGGAAGTAAATTTTGACCAGTAACTACGAAAGGATGATTTGTTTTACCCTCTGGCTCAAAGGATCAGTGCCGACATCTTCAAGTAAGAGACTACTCCTGATTCCAATTCAGGAGCCAGAACCCACGGGGAAAAGAAAACGACTAGCCAGTCATGGATTTGGGCGCGGAACTCCTGATGATTGGATCGATACGATAAAATAAGGTACATTCCGGTTCTCCTTAGCAGCCTATATCAATAGTCCATCCACATCAATCATCAATCACTTTCAGTCCCCTCTATCATCCCCACTCTGTTATCTCGAAGTCCTGCTCTTTGAGTGATACAATGAACGCACAGCAATCTAAAACAGTCAGTATTGATGTGGGCTCTATCAAAACGGAGCTATGTGCTAACCTTCTGGATACCTCAGGCTGGCTCGACTCAGCCAGACCATCTATACAAAGGAAGGCGAGCTTCAGCTGCCCCTTAACATCGTAGTCATAGGATGTGGTCTGGGAGGTCTCGCTGCTGCATATTGCCTTGCACAGGCAGGCCACAACATCACCATCCTCGAAGCAGCGTCGGCCATCGGTGATGTAGGCGCCGGCATCCAATCCAGTCCGAATGTCTCGCGTCTCTTGATGCGTTGGGGTCTCGGCCCACAGCTTCAAGAAATTGGTGTCAAAATCCAGGCATTAAGCCTTAAACGATGTAAGTTACGTCGAAATGTTCTGACGCTCTTGCTTGATGCCAATATCCAGGGAGCAACGACGAGGTCATAGGGTGGACACCCCTCGGAGATTTGGTTGATAAGGAATACGGGTTTCCTTTCTACCTCTTACATGTTAGTCCTCTCCATATTGCACCTATTCTTTCTGACGAAGCTAGGACAGCGAGCTGATTTCCACCGTGTGCTCTACGAAGCCGCTGAGCCACACTGTAACGTCCGTGTTAATAGTCGCGTTGTATCCGTGGACCCGTCGAAACCTAGTGTGACTCTTGCATCTGGGGAGATCATATATGCCGACTTACTCATTGGCGCCGACGGAGTCAAAAGCGTTACTCGGGAGTATGTTGTTGGCGGACCCGATCAACCCAGGGCTACTGGAGATGCTGCTTACAGAGCCCTCATCCCTGCCGAGAAACTCCTACAGGATGATGACCTGAGACCATTGGTGGAGAAAATGGAATCGAATATATGGATGGGCCCCGGGGGTCACATTGTCGGCTATACTATTGTAAGCCGACTGTTCGCTTAATATGGTTAACCATGAAGCTAATGCGAGGGCTGTGTAGCGTGCCAAGAAAGAATTTAACCTCGTCATGATGCATCCTGATGATACTGAAGGGGGCATAGAATCATGGACTGCTGAAGGTAATGTGGACAAAATGATAGAAACCTACAAGGGATGGAATACTACGTTAGTGACTCTTTTTTAATCCCCACCTTGTGCTCATGCTGAATGATGGCGGGACGCAGTGTTCAAAAGCTTCTGGCACTTGTTCCGTCGACGCTCAATTGGAGGTTGATGGACCGAGACCCACTGCCTTCGTGGATTCACAAGGATGGCAAGTTGGCCTTGTTGGGCGACTCATGCCACCCAATGCTGGTTTGTGTGGATTCTCGATCAAAATAGCGCATGCTGAATGTAATATCTTTATAGCCTTACCGTGCACAAGGGTCGGCCATGGCGGTAAGGAGGAGTGTCGACAGTAAAACGAGTGCTAATATCAGAGTTCTCCAGATTGAAGACGCTGCCGTCCTAGGCAACCTATTCTCGCACTGCTCGGATCGTTCGCAGATTGCACCACTGCTCTATGCCTATCAGTCTATCCGGTACCACCGTGCTACCGCGACACAGAGGTCCTCAAGTCTAAACCGGTTCATATTCCACAAACCCGACGGGCCAGAGCAAGAGGAGCGTGATCGTGAGATGCGCGCGGCCAAGGAGGACGCTTTGCGCGTTGCACGGGGCGAGAAGAGCACATATACACTGACAGGCAATTCGAATCAGTGGGCCGATAAGACGAAGAGCGACATCCAATTTGGATACGATGCGGATGAGGAGGCAGAAAAGTGGTGGCTCGTGAATGGGAAACGGCTTATGGCCCTTGTTCCTTCAATGGAACTCAAGCCAAGAGTCATGTCTTCTGCAAATCGCGATCACTAACTGCATAGGAGTCTTTTGTTTATTTGTTCTGGACTATCTGGCTGATACACGAGAATCTGGTGGCTTTTTAACTCTGCCGTTCTATCCCACACTTGTACTGTACTTATTGAGCAGCCGACCTGTACATAACATTTTGAATCTTCACAATATTCTTTCATTGTTTTTAAACATCTTTTTTTTACAAGTGTAACAATGTAACAATGCAACATGACAAATTGACAGTAATTCTTATCTCAATCTTATCTCATATATTTATGTAAGCAGCCGCCCAGTTGCGAACCGAGTGAAACCCACGACTCCATTTAAAAAATCCTAGGGCAGAACTTCACAGCCAGAAAGTTCAAGTCCTTGTCCATCGCTGTCCATGTGTCCATTTTACGTGCGACGCTAGGCCAGCTATATATACTTAATCGTGCCCACTCAATCCTCGTGATATTGAGTACCGGTATCAAACGCCACTCCGTCTGGTGCCATTGAGTTCTACTTATGTGTCAGAAATCCTCGGGATTCGTGCATGTGAGTCGAATCTGTTGCAATGGACCCGTCTTTGGTTCCTAATGTCGTGTTGGTTTTTTTAGCATTTAGGTTTATTGTTGGTCGTATTTGAGTCGCGCCTCGATTCTGAGACATCCATGATCCGACGCGCTTACCAGAAGCATCACGAGCTTGCATGCAATAGAATTGTTTTAGGTTGACATGGGTCGATCCAGAGCTGGTTGTTCAACGATGGGAACGGCTGTGTAAAGAAGCTACGTCCACTCATGTGATATCGTCAAACGTCACTGCGAACTAGTGATATGTCTGGTATGTACTTTTCGTTTGCCGACTCACCGAGCAACCTTATAAACGCAGTACTCGTAGTTCTCTGGAGTCGAGCCTCGAGTTGCGCAGAAAGTGTGGCTAATGGACAGTCTTAGGGCAGGTCCGTCACGGACTCGGGAATTTTTAAAATACTAGGTATTTTATTTGTTCGCCAAATCTAATTCACTGTTACTTGAATAGAAGACTCAGACGCAAGCCACCTGCCTCTCCCTAGAGCCTTCCCTCAGCTCCTTCAAAAGTACAGCAGCACCCCTCACGGACTCGTACATTCTCGTTAGGAGTTCCACCGGTCCTAGAGGCTGAAAACCCCCAGCATGTTATAAAAGCTTCTCCCGCCGCCGTCGGTATCTTCTACCTCAATTCCTTAAGATGTACAACAACATCCTTGCAAGCCACTCCGTCGTCATCGTTGAGAGGGCAGGCCATGCCGGGGTGCCCCAGCTCGTTATACCAAGCTTCTCCCGTCGGCATCGGTATAATGACCCTCCTGTATCCTCCTATCATCTGTGTTACCACTTATGTTATTCTTATGCGATCATTTGATGAGATGATCCACATACATTCCATGCCTTTCCCGAAAACGTGTCGCACCACTTGTGGAATAAGGATACTGCCGGAGCTCGGCCTTTTCCAGTGATAAACCTCTAACCGAATTCAGCCAAGCGATTGACACGGATCTAGAGCGTCCATTTTCTGGACGTTCTCGCGTGTCGATGCCTTGCCATTTTCTGAGGATGAGGCCATCAGTCTTCCGACAAGACATCAGATGTTCCCGAGACTTCTGGTTCTACTATCGCGCGTCTGATTGGATGTTTGAACGCCTTTCTGCCGTTACCGCTTTCCAGCGGATCCTCCATTAACGATACTCGCATAATCGATTATCCATGGCAGAGGAGCGCTCGACAGCACTTCGACTATGGACGCATATGTAACATATTTAATATCAGATAAGTTGCAGATAAGCATCGTAAGCTCCCAGGTGTAAGCGTCCCTATTTAATCTTGACAATTCAATTATGTACGCTGTCCCTGATGGGCTCCGATAGTTACAGTGTCCGTTTCGCAAGTGGCTTATAACCTGTAGAACTGTTTCTAACTGTCACAGTCGCAATTTGTGGCGAATTCTTTGCTCATTAGAAACAAATTGGACAGGATCATCATCAGCTCAAGTTGAGGCCACGGGTCTCTTACTTTGGCTTGGCTATGTAGAATCACGACAGTATTACATGCGACGCGAACGTTTAATGAACTTCTCGACAACATGCCCACTTTATATCCAATCAGGTCAAATCGGAACGGCTCTTGTTGCACAGGCACAAATCGATTTGATAATAAATAATAAAGTAATCGAAATAAACTTACAAGAGCTGCGTTGAGAGGCAACTTGGCAAGGTACTGCTACATACTTTGATCACGGCAGTGGCGACCTCAAATTTCAACTTGAAGGAAGCTGGGCCGGCAACTGTGAAACTATCGTAAGTCACTGCTTCCAAATCAAAGAGCCAATGCTCAAGTAAGACGGCACTCTTGCTTCCAATTCAAGAGGCCAAATCCACGAAGGGAAGAGAAACGACTAGTCAGCGAAGACTGACGCGAATATCGATATGACCTGATTTCAGTATTTAATCTATTGATCAGAGGGAACCGACTCGGTGACGATAAGTATAAGGCGGCAAAATAGTAAACCCTCCTTTACAGCCTATATCAATCTTCCACTCACACACTCCAGGCCCATCCATCATTTCTAGATCCTTCCAACCCTTGTGTGATATGGACACCACAGAACCTCAAATAATCAGTGACAATGTGAGACCGATCAACACGAGACTATGTACTGACCTTCTGGACGTCTCAGGCTGACACGACCCATCAGCCCGACCATCTATACAACGGAAGGCGAGCTTCTCTACCTCTCGACATCATAGTCATAGGATGCGGTCTGGGAGGTCTCGCTGCTGCATACTGCCTCGCACAAGCAGGTCACAAAGTTACCATCCTTGAAGCAGCGTTCGCCATCAGTGACGTGGGCGCTGGCATTCAAGCCAGCCCTAACGTCTCGCGCCTCTTGAAGCGTTGGGGTCTCGGCCCACATCTCGAAGAGCTTGGTGTCAAACCACACAATTTGAGCATTAGACGATGTGAGTTACGATTAAATGTCCTGGTATTCTTGATTGATGTTCTCCAGGGAAGAATGATGAGGTCGTGGGATTCACGCCATTTGGGGAGACGTTCGTGAAGGAATACGGTTCCCCTTATTACCACGTACATGTTGAGTGCTCTCCCTGATGCACTGATTTTGCCTGATCAGGTTGAATCAGCGAGCCGATTTTCACCGTATGCTCTATGTGGCGGTTGAACCATACTGTAACATACGTGTAGGTTGTCGTGTTGTATCCGTGGACCCGTCAAAACCTAGTGTGACGCTTGCATCTGGGGAGATTGTATCTGCTGACGTACTCATTGGCGCTGACGGAGTCAAAAGTATTACTCGGCAGTATGTCGTCGGCGGGCCCGATGCACCCATGGCTACTGGAGACTCTGCTTACAGAGCCCTCATCCCGACCGAGAAACTTCTGCAGGATGATGACCTGAAATCACTGGTGGAGAAGACGGAATCAATCATTTGGATGGGCCCTAAAGGTCATATCGTCGGCTATAATATTGTAAGTAGTCCGATCAACATAGTCGACAATGGGAGCTAATAGGAGCTGCACAGCGTGCCAAGAAAGAATACAACCTCGTCATGATGCACCCTGATGAAACCGAAGGGGGTGTGGAATCGTGGACTGAGGGAGGTAATGTGGAACGAATGAGAGAGTGCTACAAAGGGTGGAACATTGTGTCAGTGACTCCGATTTGATGCACTCATTGTGCTCATGCTAATTGGTGACAATGGATGCAGTATTCAAAAGCTTCTAGCGCTCATTCCGACAACGCTCGATTGGAAGTTGATGGTCCGAGACCCACTGCCTTCGTGGGTTCACAAGGATGGCAAGTTGGCCTTGTTGGGCGACTCATGCCACCCAATGCTGGTTTGTGTGAATTCTCGATCAAAATAGCGCATGCTAAGTGTCATATTCCTATAGCCTTACCGTGCACAAGGGTCGGCCATGGCGGTAAGGAGGAGTGTCAACAGTAAAACGAGTGCTAACATTAGAGTTATCTAGATTGAAGACGCTGCCGTCCTAGGCAACCTATTCTCGCACTGCTCGGATCGCTCGCAGATTACGCCGCTGCTCTATGCTTACCAGTCTATCCGGTACGAACGTGCCACTGCGACACAGGTGTCCTCAAATCTAAACCGGTACATTTTCCACCACCCCGACGGGCCAGAGCAAGAAGAGCGCGATAACCAAATGCGTGCGGCAATGGAGGACGCTTTGCGCGTGGCGCGCGGTGAGAAGAGCACGCTTGTGCTAGAGGGCAATGCGAATCAGTGGGCTGATAAGACGAAGAGTGACATCCAATATGGATACGACGCGGATGAGGACACGGAAAAGTGGTGGCTTGCGAACGGCGATAAGCTGATGAGCTTCGTCCCTAGTGTATCCGAAGCGGTGAATTAAATTTGTGGCAGCACGAAGTTCTGTAACTTGTACTAGAAGTTGTGAATGTGATCCTAGCAGTTAAGATAATGTAGTACATACTCGTGTGAAACAAGTACCTTTTGTGATCCTGGCATTGATTCTGGTGACCTCTGGTTTGACGTTTATGGTTGCATACTTATTGTTGTATGACTATTTCGTTCAGCACAAACAGAGCGTGAGCAGGGCTGCTCAATTCTAAAAGTTCGAGTTCACTTGGATTCAAGCACCGCTAAGCCTTGTCCTAAACGGGAGTTGTACCTAAACCTTAACCCTACTCAATGACAGTTTATTTCTTCAGTTTATTTGCTGTTTGAATGATAAGTGATGGGAAATAAACTGTCAGAGTTATTGAGTGGCAGTTTATTTCATACCCGAAGTTGTTGGCAAGGTATCAGAGTAAACTGAGTCTGATTGTGTGCCAAGCTGCTGAAGTGCAAAGATTACAAGCAAAGATCAAGTATGATACAGTAACTTAAGTATATGAGAAAAACAACTTACTGCAGCCAGACTTCAAATGTTCTATCTGATGAGACATCAATAAGGGTGTCAAAGAAATCCTTGGACTATACCTACCACTGTGTCTGTCCCATTGTTGGCAGTCCAAGGCTACCAATGCGAGTGAAACAGCAACAAGCTGATCTCCAGAGTTTTTTTTGCCTCAGTGAGCAGCACAACTGCAAGTGGTGCTGCCGTGGTCTGGTCTGGTCCAGTTCGGAGGGTCCTAGATGAGAACCAAGAACCAGACCATCAGTTCAGTTCTACAAAATGTCCAAACCCAGAACTGGACCATAGAGAACCATTCTCTATGGTCTGGTTTGGTTTTTTTTGGGGTCTGAACCCAAACCAAACCAAAAAAAAAATAGAGCACAAGCAGCAGTGAAGGATGGCGATCATGAGCATGGATCAAGGATGGCGGCGAGCAGCAGCGGGAGATAGCAATGAGCAGCAGCGTGAGATGGCAGCGAGCAGCAGCATGAGATTGAGCATCAGTCCCTGAGTCAGAGAGGTAGCAGGAGGGTACTCCAGATTCTCAGCAATGCTATCACAAAACAATGAATTAATCCAAAAACAGTAACAGACACCCATATATACGCAAGCTCACAAACCAACAACTTATTCCCTGTAATCTTCTGCAAATAAGCCAGTGTCCCAGCATCAGCTGTGAGCCCCACATCGACTTCCTATACACAGCAAGCAGCCTACATCAGACAAACAAGTGAGCAGCCATTAACAAGCCTTGATGGAGAACTTGGCGTCTGATGCTGTGTATCAGACATTGCATGCGGAGATGAGGTCTATCCTGAGACCGATCACAAGCCCGTGTGTTGCTGCTGTCATGGGGATTGGGCACTGCTCAGGCACTGCTACTGTGTGTTGGATGTTGAGGATGTCGGCGTGGATGAGGAGTGCGTGGCGGGCAGGGTCTGTAGTGTTGTTGGAACCAAGGTTTATGAGTCCTTGGACTGATGGAGATTAGTTGGTGGTCATTGAGGTAGGTTGGGAGTGGGCAGCGTACCTTATTTGTCTCCTCAACGACTTTCATTCTCCCATTCCTCCTTTCTCTTTTCCCCGGCGTCTTCCTTTCTCCTTCACCAAAGTGTTGTCTGCATTCATCTTAGCCATGCCAGCAAATGCTGGCATGTGCTGGGTGCATATGCTAGACACTGGTTGTTGCTGGAGTGGGGTGGTGGTGGGGTGGTGGTGGCGGCATGGTTGATGCTGGTGGTGATGTGGGCAGGCAATGAAGGTTCAACGATACAGCGAGGCACGAACAATGCTCCAGACTGTATCTATAATTGTTGTAAGGTCATGCGTTGCCTAGTCTGCTATACTTGAGACGACAAGTGCGTTCGACCCTAAAGGGGAAGCGAGTGCAGCAAGGATCTAGAGGTATGCGCTGAAAGCGCTACTGGTTGGCCAATGCGAAGCGCGAGAAAGCGCAGGTGCGCGCAAGGCGCGGGAATGTGCGCGTGTATGGCGCGAAGCGTGGGAAAGCGTGCGCGTGTATACAGATATGAGAGAGAGTAAGAGTGAGTTTGCTTAAGTGATGATATGATGTAAGACAAGAGAAGAGAGATGCGAGGTGTAAACAAATAGATTTCTACTATGTTCTGCTAGGTAAATAGTGGGTAGTAACCAGTAAGTCCTCTGTCGTTCTGGTGGGAGAGTAAGTCTGTCGTTCTGGTGGGAGAGTAAGTTCTTTTGTAAGTATGTACTGCTGGCGCTTAAGTATGGCGCCTAAGCGCTGTCATGCGGAGCCGAAGTGCTACCGAGTAAGGTATGTAAAGATATATGTAAGTAAGGGTCCATGATAAAAATAAAGATGGAACGATATGCAAATGTGAGAAATGGAAATATAAGCACTAGGGAACTTGGTGGACAGTGGATGGATGCTTCTGGATGGCTGGCGCTATAGGGCACTACAGCGCGGGAAAGCGCGGGCGCATATACATCGTGAAGCGCGGGAAAGGTACGCGCGCATGGCGCGCATTGCGCGGGAAAGCTGCGCCTCATATAGAGATAGCTGCAGGTAGCACACAGAGTGATGCTACAAGTTCGTGCCATGTACTCCCCAGTGAAAACTGCCATATTGCACAATGAGAGGCATGAGTCTCTACAGCGATTCACACTGAACCAGATGCTCCATGCCCTTGATGTGGATTCACCATTCACCATAAGCAAATGGTAAAACTGCGACATATTTAAACAAATGTCAGTGTGTGAGAGAATCAAAATTTTGATTAGTTAGTATGTACCTCCAAAAAGGCTAAAGGCAGAGGAGTAGAGTGCAAATCCTGAAGTTCGGTCGATGTCGAGGTAAGTGGCATTGAAGTCAGAGTTGAGAACAGTTCGGAATGGTTCAGCAGGACCTAGAACTGAGAACTGATTTCTGGTTCAGTTCAGGCTGACATCAGAGCCATGGACAGAACTGTCCAGAACTGGACCAAAAGTCTGGTTCAAACCGTGGTTCTGAACTGGACCGCAGCAGCACTAACTGCAAGAGTTTCCAAGAGGTTCATGGTGGATTCTCTCTTGGTGCTCCATTGGCGCTAATGTTGTTGATTTACTCGCCCCATGAGTATACTGAGTGTTCTTGTGGCCACAGCAGTCTGTTGGCAAGTCAGTCAGCTGCTCATATTTCACTCTCCGCAACAGAAACAGCACACAAACCTTGACAGTTTATTCCAGTTTATTTCATTATGCATGCTCAAAAAATAAACTGGCGAAATATACTGTTATTGAGTAGGGTTCTTAGGTGCTGTTTAGCGAATTCCATATTCAAATTTTGAATTCGTGGTCACATGCATTGTAATTATATAAGCTGGGTTACCATTAGGTTCTAATATGATAACAATCAATGCTAGTATGATGACATGTCAGCTGCTGCCCTACAACAAATTGACTATACCAGACCACTTGGGATGGTGCAACAAGAGCATATACAGCACTTGATGTTCATTCTACATCAGGAAATTACCAAGTTCCTTATTTTCCTTTTTGTTCCTTAGATTACTTGAAAAAAATGGAATTAAGGCGGCTAAGTAAGTCTAAGGTGGTTAAGTAAGTCAAGGAGTCTCAGGACATATGGTTTGAAACCTTCTAAGTCCAACTTTTGTACATGTTTGTTCATGTGACAGTGCACTCAACTTCTGTTGCTGCAGTGCTCAACCTACTCATTCCTGCTTGTTTCCACATGTTCTCAGTTGTTTTCACTTGCTATTGACAATCTCCCCTCATTTTCATTTGTTTTCACTGGCTCTCATCTGTCTCTGCTCATATCTGCTCATATCTGCTTATTCTCATTTCACACTTCACAGGGAAGCACTAGCCTTGTACCCCAACAATGAAAACTTGGATTAGCTATTGCACTCTACAGGGAAGTGCTGGTTTTACCTCTGGTCAGTCACACAAATTGGTCTATGTCATTAAATAACCTCGTGACTCTCCTCTCCTCCTGCTTTGAGCACCAAGGCAACAATGAAGACTTGGATGAAGCTATCCTTGTGTCTAATTGGTCACATACAGATCAGTCCAAGTCATTAAATAACCTCGCCATTTGACTCTCCTTCCACTTTGACCACCAAGGCAACCATGACAACTTGGATGAGGCTATTGCACTTCATAGGAAAGCATTGGCTTTGTACCCGGCAGATCACATACATCAGTACCAGTCATTAAACAACCTTATACTTTAACTCTCCTGCTTTGACCAGTGAGACAATGTTGAAGACTTGAATCAGGCTATTGTATTTCAGAGGGAAGTACTAGCTTTACTTCTGGTCAGTCACACAGATCAGTCCATGTCAATAAAAAACCTTATGAATCAACTCTCATCCTGCTTTGAACACTGAGGTAATGGTGAAAACTTACATGAGGCTACTGCACTTCACAGGGAAGCACTGGCTTTTCACCTGGTCAGTCACCCAAATCAGTCTTCATCATTAAACAACCTCACAAATTGACACTCTTCCCACTTTGATCATCAAGAAAAGTGCTGGTTTTGCTCCTGGTTGGTCACATAGATCGGTCTGCATCATTAAACAACCTCACTGGTCAACTCTCCTCCTGCTTTGTATTGGTTTCTACTCCTACTATTGTTGCTTGTTTCAGACACATTTGTTTAATTATTTTTTGGAGATTTTCATAGGACACCTTGAACTCATGTATTAGCCTTAGTGTACTTAGTCTATGTCTCAAAATAATAGTATTTTTGATCTCCTTATCTGCCTTAGTTTAAAGAAAAGTTTTTTATTTTGAGGAAATGGATCTTCTTATTCTTCTTATTTTTGTGTGACCTTATTGTGTGAATTAAGGCAAATAAGGAGCAAATAAGGAACTCAGTGATTTCCTGATCTAGCTACTGTTGTTGCCTAGGCCCTTGTAGACTATCAGACACTCTTCCTAACCTGTTGTAGAGACTAATATCTCTGTAGCCTTGTAGAGGCCATATCTATAACATGTCTTAAAGTGCAATTTAATGCACAACTTGTGCTAAACACCTCCCCAAGCATTACCTATGTGAAGTACAAAGTGCATGCTACTTTCCTGTGACAAGTGCTGCATTCCCATGTGCATGCCTAGTGTGCTTTCCCATGCTTGAAGTGCCCTATATCACACATCCATCCATTATTCAAACTAACCTCAGTGGTACATTTTCATGTTGTTATCTTCATATTGGACTGTATTATATTTAGATCTTAATAATTTGCTCATTTCTCATGTCATGGACCCTTATTACATACTTACCTACTCGCTTCACAAGCACTTCAGCTCTGCTTCATAGGAGCATTTCTAGATATATATAAGCATCTGTAGTTCATGTTTTACAGGAGAAAATCATATAAAAGCTCCCTGCATCACACTATCAGTGTATAGCTCATCCATCATGAAGCCATGGTCAGTAGCTATTGACAATAAGATCATCCTATAATATCTATCATCGCTATCTAATGTCTATTCATCCCTTATGAACCTATCCTTATATCCCCCACCTCACGCTGTCCTGCATACTTTTCTCATACTTTATGCTCCTCAAGCACTCCGTTTCCATACTTGTGCCTTATGTACTTTATATTACCCAATAAGCAGCTCTATTAGTGTCAACTCCTAGATCTCTGCTGCACTTGCTTCCTCTTTAGGATTAAATGCACTTGTCACCACAAGCATAGTGGCTTAGGCAAGCAAGATCTAACACATTTTTCAGTATACACCATCTGAATTGCTGTATCCACAGTGCTTGTGCATGCAAGTGGCCAATGAAGCATGAATGCATGCGAATGGGATATGAGTCACACTGTGTTTGGATAGTGATTAGAGCATTGGAGGATTAGACCTCCACAAGACTATAAAGATGTCAGTTTCTACAGCGGGATGAAAGCTATAGAAACTCCAAAGTATGATTTGAGGCATCTATGCTCAGGATGTAGAGCCATGTCACATGGAGCCCAGAAATGTTTTTGGATACAAAAAAGTACATCCACAAACACTGTATAAAGCAGATGTTTGGGAGTGCAAGCTATAACGTGAAAGTAGACATGAGTCAATGTCAAGGTATGTTCTCCCAGGAAAAAACATATATCATTCATGAGAAAATATTAAGGTCCAATTTTATAAAATAAAAATATTATCATTGACAGGTTTCAAATGTGCGCAGTCCAAGAGGAACAGATTTTGACTCTGATATTCATTTGGAATTTCATCTTTAGCAGGTTTTGAACCCACACAAACAGATTTGGATTCTGTTATATTAACTATTTGATTATAAGAACAGTTGAATGTACTCCCAATGGGCCCATTCACAAGTGAATCCTCAAGGTATATTTATTTGCATTTTGTCAGTTCTAACATTCCTCTTGAGTTCAATCATATGTGATTCTTTCATTGTCAGTTGTCACTTATGACCCAATTGTTAATTCAAAGACATCACAAACATCATTGACCTAATGGTGGTCTACCATCAGTACATTTTTGGAGCAATTGCTAGATAAATATGTCTTGAAGTAGAGGTCCAGAAGAAGTCTGATGTCTTTTGCAATAAGAGTAGAATAAAAAATCAATTATGGCAACCATATTATTAAAAGAACTAACAAAATGCAGATAAATATGCTTTGAGGATTCACTTGTAAATGGGTCCATTAGGGGTGCATCTAATTGGTCTTAGCTGAGCAGTTAATATAACAGAATATAAATCTGTTTGTGTGGGTTCAAAACCTACTAAAGATGTCATTGTTAAGTGATCACCAGAGTCAAAATCTGATTCTCTTGGAGCATGCAGGTTTGAAACCTACTAGTTGCAACATTTGTTTTCTATGAAAACACACCTTAAAATATGCTGATGGTTGGTTTGCTTGCAAGCTGATCAAAGTTGTATTTGGCCAAGTGGTTATCATAACAGAATCAAAATTTGTTTTTATTAGGATGCAATAGGTTTGAAACCCATTAAATGTCACATTTTTTCTATGAGAATATGCCTACATTTGCTCATAGACAGTATCTCAGACATTGATCTTGATTGGTCTTAGTCAAGTTGTCACCAGAGTTAAAATCTGTGTCTCTTGGACTTTGTAGATTTGAAACCTGCCTATGATTATATTTTTATTCTATGCAATTACACTCTGATATTTTCTCATGGATAGTTTTCTCTAAAACCCATCATATATGCTTTTTTCTATATCATTGCCACAATAGATTCAAAATATATTTCAATCAAAGCCTACAGGTTTGCAATCAGTCAAATAATGCATTTCTTTTTCATGTTGCAATATGCTCAATTGAATATTTGCTCATAGATGGTTTCTCAGACTTTGATTTTCATTGTTGCTAGTTCAGGCGTTATCAAAGTCAAAATCTGATTTTCCTGGACATCTATGAGCAAATGTTCAAGATATATTTCAATTAAAAAAATGTAATTATATAGGTTTCAAACCTGCTTAGTCCAGGATAATCAGATTTTTATCTATTGTAGCAATAACATAGCTAAGACCACTTAAGATTCACAAGGAAATGACAAGGTGTGATTTCATAGAATAAAAATATCATCACTGACAGGTTTCAAATCTGCAAAAGTTCAAGAGACACAGATTTTAACTCTGATAACAACTTGACTAAGACTAATCAAGATCAGATACTGTCTATGAGAAAATGTTCAATGCATGTTCTCATAGAAAAAATGCGATGTTCAATGGGTTTCAAACCTATTGCATTCCAATAGAAACAGATTTTGATTCTGTTATGATAACTACTTGGCTAAACACAACTTTGATCAGCTTGCAAGCAAACTGACCATATGCATGTATCAATGTGTGTTTTCATACAAAATGAAAATTTATCATTGCCAGGTTTCAAACCTACGCATTGCAAGAGAAATAGATTTTGACTCTGGTAATCACTTGACAATTTCATCTTTAGCAGGTTTTGAACCTACACAGACAGATTTAGATTTTCTCATATTGACTACTTAGCTAAGACCTGTTGGATTCAATTTCCATGAATCCATTCAGAAGTGAGTCCTCAAGACACA